TGACGATGAAGAGTGATTGCAGATATGTAAAGGTGGCGGTTGATGGAGCACCATATTTGAGAAAGCTAGATCTCAAATTGTACACAAGCTATCAACAACTTCTGTTCGCTTTTGAAGATCTCTTCTCCTGCTTCACCGTCAGTATGTACATAAACTGTTGATCTGTAATTATGTTTGATTATTTTACAATGAAACTTACATATCGTATGAATGTTATAGGAAATGTATTAAACGAGATGAAGCTGATGGATCCTGATAATGGTATCGAATACGTTCCAACATATGAAGATAAAGATGGAGATTGGATGTTGGTTGGTGATGTTCCATGGAAGTAAGTCTGCATCATGTGTATTAACAGATTATCATAATAATTTTTCTAATAATTTTTGTTTAAGATATTGTTTTGATGTGATAATTAACGAACAATTTTCTATATGATTATGCAGTATGTTTGTTGAATCATGCAAGCGAATAAGATTAATGAAGAACTCGGAGTTGTTGAGTTGAACAAGCGTTGATGGAGGAAATAGTTCATAGAAGAGATTGTTTATTTATTTTTTTATTTTTTTTGAGAATAGGAAAATAGTTAATTAATTACGAATATTGTAGAAGTAAATAAGATCCACATGATGTGTGTGTACAAAATGTTTGCTGAGTTTGTGCAGAAACTGACATTTATAAAGCCAGGTTTTTAGGGTTTTGTAAATTGAAAAAGCTTAATTTATTGTGTATTTGTAGTATAGTAACAAAATGTATATAATTTTCAAAATTTTATACAAGCGATCGTATATTTTGCAATGGACTAAAATGTAAATCATTTATACTAAATTTCTTTTTATAGTGTTTCGACCATAAGAATTTTAATTTTTTAAACAAATTACAACAAACATATAATGTGAAAATGTTCTTAATTTAATGTGAAACGGTTCATATTAATGCAAAATACATATATATTTTCTTTTTTATCGATGTTCGAACTATCTTTGAAGTTTTTTTTTGTTGTGGGTATCTTATAAGGAACATTTCCGTAGCAAAAGCAAATTTCATAATGTGAAATGGAGTGTTAGGTTGAGAGAGAAATTGAATTTTTCTTTATGATAACTTTTTTTTTTTTGGGAAAAATTACTTAAATAGTAGCGGATAAATTTTGTTGCTAAAAGTTCATGAGTGATGGGTTGATGGTAGATTAATGGCTGGATTTTAAGCAAATTTAGCTACACACTAACTACGGATTAAGAGAGGAAAACAATCCGTCGATAATATGTCACTACTTTTCTAAATTTGCATCAAATTACCAACACAGCTGTGATATATTTATTGCGTCAACCCATCGCTAATTGTTCATTGGTAGTCCGTCATTAAATTCAACCAAAGGTTGGTTGCTAACCTGTCTTATATTAAATAGTTCTTTATATAAAAAATATAATTTTACTTTATTACTCTGATAAATAAATGTTTTTTTTTGACAAATGTACACTCTCATTCAATTTGTCAAATATCATTTTGTGGTTATTTTGAATTAATTTTTTTTCCACATCTCATTTTATGGGTTTTTCTATTTTATTAAATTCCACATAATATTTTAATGTAATAACTGCAATAAATGTAATAATAAATAAATATCAATTTCATTAATGAATTTACCTTTTAATTTCAAAGTTCTTAAAATTAAAGCTTATTAATTTCTTTTATTTATTTAAATTATTTGTTTAAATTTAAAAGATAAAAAACATTTCAATTATAATAACTTATTATTTTTAAAAGAATTTCTTATAAATTCAAAGTTCTCAAATATTTTGACATTTATATTTAACTTTTCATTTTTTAAAATTAACTCATATAATACATGCGTCTGACAACTAACAATAATAATTAAACACGGTTGTCACTACCAGCGATCGTTGAAAATGTTTCTCCTTCAAATTTTTAAGGCGATTATGGGATAGTTTAAGTCCCCACATCTTCTTTGTGAGTATTATTATTTTGAGATCTTAAAATAAGATGAGTATAATTTATTGATCCTTTATTGGCACTCTCCGGAAGTCCTGATGTGAGAAAGTAGGCGCATCACTGAGATCTGGTAATCCGACCATCCCAACTTGGTTTAATAGGCTCAGAACTATCAAACTCATTTAGACCCAAAATAGGCGGATCTGGAATTGGGCCAGCTTCATTATGTTGTCGGGGCCATGCCATCCTCATTTGATTTGGATTCAGTCGGAGTTGAACCATCTTTTTATTATTTTATACTGTCACCTTGTTAATCTTTTCTGTAGCATCTCTAACACATTAGATTATTTTTTGATTTTTTTTCAAACTTAGATAAACTATATTTTTATAAAACACAAACATTTAATATTAGAGCACATTACATGGATAGTCCCTGTGGTTTAGGATAATTTTCATGGTTTCTAATTTTTTTTTCTAACTCGGACAGTCTTTATAGTATGTTTTTTCTAACTCGGACAGTCTAAGCAGAAACGGACAGCGTACGAGGTCGTCGGGGCTCGGGATGCAAGATGGCTTCAGCAAAGGAGAGAGGAGAAAGGGAAATAGTGTAAGGAATAGCTGAAGTCGGACCTGCTATTTATAGTAAGGATTTTGGACTCTCACGTCGTGAGTTTTATAAGGCTCACGTCGTGAGTCATGCATGCTCATCCCGTAGACTTGCCATTTGCTTCCCTAGCTTCGGAAGGTGTCCCTTTGACTCCTCACGACGTGAATCAATCCTTGCTCACGTCGTGAGTTTGGATCTTATCCCCTCGTAGCCTCGTCACGCCTTCTAGATTACGAGATGTGGCAAAATGACTCATCACGTCGTGAGTTCTGTGCTCACGTCGTGAGTTCAGTCAGATTAGGGTTTCAGATAGCTGAATCTTCGGAAGGTCGTAACTTTCACATACGAACTCCGTTTTTGACGTTTTTTATATGCACGCGTAGGTATTTACAAGTAATACAACTCTCTTTTAGACTCCAATAGCTATTTCTAAATCTATTTTAAATTCCTCTTATTATAGAGATTTATAGTGTTCGATTTATCATAACTTCTTCATGCGAAGTCAGATTCAGACATTCTTTATATTTTTGGAATCGTATGGACATATACTTTGAGTTGTATCATAAAGAAAGTTCATATTTGTATTAGAATTTATCATGAACTACATAGTACTCTTATCACATTACTAGTTTAACAAAATCACATTACATGATTGGCATAATCACATGTGATTGTCTGTTGACCTATTTTGACTAGTGTTACATGATGGGAATACTTGATCAGTGCCCAAACCCTATTTTCATGGTTTGAGCCCTATTTAAGCTCCTTAACTCCCCCAAACCCATTCCATTCTCAGCCTCCACCTCTTCAATACCCTCTCTTGTAACCCTAACCCTATATTGAGCCTTGTAAGCAAAAAGAATGTGTTTTTAAGTGCTTTGGAGTGTTCTTGATGCACCTTGGAGAAGAAGGAACTCATTGAAGTAGTGTTGGTTGCATTGGAGCTTGTAGATCCAGACTTTGTTCACCTTGATCTTTCTTCTGGAGGTATAAATTTTGAATCTTTATGATGCAATTATTAGATCTAGCTAGTTTTGGGTGTTATGAGGTTTTGGTCACTTTAAGTGCATAAACTTTAGATCTTGAAAGTTTGTGACCTTCTAAACATCATTTTGATTCAGATCTGAAGGTTGGAGACTTGTACTTAATGTATTAAGTTGAAAAAGATGCACTTTTGGGTCCCTTTGAGACTTAAAGACTAGATCTTGTTTGTTGGGACCAGTTGAAAACTTTATCCATTATGGAGTTGTTATGAACCATAAAAATGTAATCTTGGCCCTTCTATCCCTTCCATACAAGAGTTGTGATGTCTTATTAGGTTAAGAACTTAGGGTTTTGGACATTAAGCACTTTATAGCCATGCAAAGTCATAAAGTTGGAAACTTTATGACTTAGGACATCATTTTGGGCTTGGATCTGAGTTTTGGACGTAAGGGCTTAATAGAATAAGCTCTTAATGAAGTTTTGGGACTGGGCTACGTACCCTGGGCGTACCTGGTGGTATGTTGCGCGTATGCAGTCAACACCCTACTTTTGGTCAACATCAGAGTACGTTGGGCGTACTCTCTTGGTACGCAGGGGCGTACTCCGCTAGGAAGAAATATTTACTTTTGGACCTTGACCATTGACTTTGACTTTGACCAGGGTTGACCAAGTTTGACCTAAGTGCATTTTGGATAATTTGATTTATAGTTTGAGATTTGGGTTCCTGCTAATTGTATAGGTGACTTATGGAGATAGCTTTTAGAGCAGTGATCGGTGTAGCTATTCTTTCAGACTGTGAGGTGAGTCTTATCACTGTATCCATAGGTCGAAGGCACCAATGCCGGTCCATTACTTGTTATGTGGAATGCTAGTTGTCTTTGTGATTCTTGCATGAAAGAATAGGATTTGGCCCCTGGCAATTGTACGAAAGACCAGGATCTAGCCCCTGACAATTGTATGAAAGACTAGGATCTGGCCCCTGGCAGTTGTATGAAAGACCAGGATATGGCCCCTGGCACTTGTATGTAACACCGGGATTTAGCCATCATCATTGCAAGGAAAGACCACGGGGGTAGGCCATGAGACTTGTATGTTTTATTATGTGGTATTTTAGGGAACTCACTAAGATTTGTGCTTACGGTTTCATATTTATGGTTTCAAGTACTTTAGGTTCGAAAGGGAAGGGCCTGGCGTGACTGCACAGCATCCCCCGGACTTTTCCGCATTAGCAATTAATGATATTACTCTGATGTTTAAATAATATATTCACTTTGATCAGTTTTGGAACAACCCGTTTGTTTGATTTATTATTTTAACAATGAAAAAAATTACTTGGGATTTTCGGGACCTTACAATGGTACAGAACACGCACAGAGGTATTTTAGTCTGAAGCCTTTTTAAAAACAAATTGTTGCGAGATAGAAAGTGTTGTGTGTGTAACGTCCCGAAAATTCATAATAAAATTTTCATTTTTAAAACCATAAACAATACAAACGATTTGTTCCAAAACCAACAAAAGTAATTATATCATTTAAACATCAAAGTAAAAGTCCTAAAAAACTAATGCAGAAAACGTCGAGGGATGCTACGCAGTCACGCCAGGCCCTTACCTTTCATATCGGAAGTACCCGAAACCATGAACATAAAACTGTAAGCACAAAGCTTAGTGAGTTCCCCAAAATACCACATACCATACATACAATAGAGATTGCTATGTACCAGCCATAGTCTTGCCATTATATCATGATCCGTACCATGGTCTCTCCTTGCCAGGCCGGAGGTCAAAATGTTGGGTCTTACAGACAAGTGCCAAGAGCCACCTCATGGTCTTCCATGTAAGCATCACAAAGACAACTAGCATACTACATATAATTGTCGTGGCCTTCCTTGGCTACGTAGTGGTGGTCCAAAAATCACGTGATCAAAATACATATTGCCACGCCGTGACCTTCCTTGGCAACATCGTGGCATAGAGTTTCCTCCAAAAACTCCATCTTCCATCCTTGATACAAGTAAGCTTAACTAATCTGGAACACGAGTGTTACAAATCTCCCCCTACTAAATTAGATTTTGTCCTATAAATCACTTCCCACTACATTCCAGGCACCCCAGACTATTTGGTTAATTCTTCCAGAACCCCGATAAAAGTTGACACTGACATACGATAGCCCTCCAGTAAAATAATCGAACCCAACCTTAGCAGGACT